TAAATAAACTAAATAATATATATAAACTAAATATAATATGAAATATATATACTTCAAAATGCATAAATGTTATATATATTATATGTATGATATTTCACACATTAATTATTCAACCAATCAGATTACAGCTTTTTTATTCATTTAGTTATTAGATCTGATCTTGTGATTCTGTAATTAGAAATGAATGGTCTATATCTTATTATAACTATCTTAGTGAGCTGATTTGAATAGTGATAGTTTTATCGAATTCTGTTAGTAGTTCAAGAATTATAATCATTTTTGTAGGTTAACATTCTCTCAAACTTATTTTTGAATTTTATAGAAATTAGCAAATAAAGTCAAGGTTGGTAGAAGTTAATTTTTTAAAGCTTATTAAGTTCAAGAATTTAGTCCTGTAGATGGCTTCTATTTCATATCGAAAGACAATTTTATAAACTCTTGTTAAGGCTATTTAATAGTACTTGGTTAATTTGTTTGCCAATACTGTTTGTTGGACTGAAGTTTTTAGTTTGGTTTCTAAAAGTTCTCCTAAATAGTAGGCATAAGTAAGAGTTTACAAATAGCTATCTTTATGATTTCTTAGCCTAGTCATATTTCTTAAAGCTTGATAGTTTAGATGAACTTTTGTTCTAGTTTTATTCTTATAGTCATAAGAAAGAGGTTCGACAATAACATTAGCTAGTTTTGTTTAAATTAATTCCTGCAAGAATATTTCTATAACAGTTGTCATTTTGAATATAAAAGTAAAATTTTTTTTTTTAAATAAAAGTATATTATATAAATATAAAAATAAAGTATTGATATATAATATTCTAATATAATAATAAAAATAAATATAATTGTTCAAAAGTGCATAAAAAAATTCTATTTCTAGTACTTCAACTAAAGACCTTAAAAGACTCAGATTCTAGCAAAAAGCTCACTCTAGCCAGTCTTGAATATACAACCTATACTGTTTAGTAATACACCTTATACTGTTAATCCATATTAGAAATATTACAAAATTTCAAATTTGTACCTCTTTTGAAGATTATTAAGATACTTCAAGTGTTTAATAAGATACTAGAATTTCATGTAATTTGAAATCATGTGACTTACAAATCTTTGTTATTCTAAATTAGTTAAATCAATTTCTAATTAATTTTTAAATTTGGTAAATTAACTTCTTATTGATGTTTAATTTTGTTTCATTATTGTTTATTAAAAATTATAATTCTTTTATCACTCCTTTTTTTTTTATAAAGTTTTTAACAACAAACTCAACAACATCAACAACAACAATTTTAATAATATAATAATAATAATAATGTCTTGACAAAGTCTTCTTGGAAAAGTTTATCATGCTTGTCAAAATGGCAATAATGCCTTATATGAGGTCTTGAGGGTGGTCCAAGTTGAGAATGGGCAGTGAATATTATCTTTAAAATTTTCTTGTTTTCTCTTCTTTTTTTTTTATCACTTAACAAAACTTATTTATAGTTTATATTAGTTGGTGGCCTTGTTAAGAAAAAGAATCCAAAGTTTAAAGATGGAGTTGAAAGAATTAAAAGCAAATGTGGTTACAAGGATACAAGATGATTAGATATTGGAGCAGTGATATATTCAGTTGTTGGAGAAAATAAACAGGTTAAGGGCAAGATTAACAAATAATGAGGAGAAGTTAAGAAGATTAAGGGCAAAAAAAAAAGAAGAGAAGGGAATAATAGGGATAGAATATCAGGTATTGGTTTTTAAGTTGTTATATATATATTATATTTTTTTTTGTTTTTTCTTTTTCTTTTGTATATATATTTTGTTATTATTTGTTTTATCTATCTTTTTTTTATTTTATAATAAAATATATAAATAATTAATAATAAAAGTTTCAAAATCTAACTAATAAAAATGTAATATTCTATAATTCTATTTTTTTTTAAAGTATTGTAATTAAGTAATATATTTGTAATATAAAAGTATAAAATACTACTTATATTACTACAGACTAATACTATTATTATAAACCTCATCAGGCAAAATTAACATATCTATCAGCTGAATTTGAATATACAGTCATATAACAGCCATATACTTACCTTATTCATTTTATTATAATAGTATACCTTACTAATTTTGTTTATTGTACAGTTTTTGAAGATTAACTTTGTCAACTGATTATCTAATAGAATTTTAAAATTTCATGTGATTTGTAAATAAGGTTTAGTATAATAAGGAATAATATAAAAATATTTGAACATAAAAAAAATTAATTAAAGATAAGAAAGAAAAAATAAAATATTAAACAAAGAACTTTAAAAAGAGTGTGTTCAGAAAAAAAGTGAGAAAAGAAGGTAAAAATATACAAGAAATAATAGTAAGATAAAAATAATAATAATAATTCTAAATAATAATAATATTATAATAAAGATAAAAAAAATAGAGATAGGATATAATAGTATTTGATAATTTTATAGGAAATAATCTTTTTATAATATTAATAAGATTATTGTTATAGAAGAGATAAATGGATTAAGCATTTAGAGAAAAAAAATAATAAGTTGGAGCATAAGGTGAAGATTACAGAAAATAGTTAGGATGAATAGAGAAGAATGTATCAAGAAGGTGAAAAGAAATATGAAGAAGTGATTAAAAATTTGTTACAAAAGGAAAAGAAAGAAGATAAAGATTTGTTTATTAGTAAGAAGAGTAGAAAGTGAAGAAAGAAATATGAGAAATTATATAAGTAGTTTAAGAAATAGAGCAGATCGATCAGAAGGTAAGTAGGACATTTTTTAGTCATAAATAGGTAGAGTATTTGTAATTAGTGTTAGGATCCATTTAACTAAATATCCAGATATCCGCAGATGATCCAGATATCCGGATACAAATATAAGACTGCAGATGTTATATCCGGATGTCAGAAATAATTAGATGATCATCTGGATAATTATATAATGAAATGCCTATTACATATATACAATCTACTTTATTTGTTTAAACTATTCAGAAAAAATTTTTAATAATAGTGATAAGATATAAGAAATAGAGATTATTCTTTTTATACTATATTAATTATTATGCATAAGATATCAGGTACTCTAACAAGTAATCAACATTAGTAACATAACCTGTTAAAAACTTTTAGCATACTTTTTGTAATATTGTAGCCTGAAAATATTATACATATTATAGCTTCTATGATTCTAATTTACATAGATCTAAAATCACTAACCAAAAATGTAAAGTAATTAAAACTCATAGTTATGCGTGTAAAGAAAAATTATTACTACTAAAAAAGATATAGAGCTGTAAGAAGGCTGTGAAAAAGCATGAAAATCAAAAAAAAATTTAGAGAATGCTTCTAATTCACAAGAAACGGATGAAATTAAGTTAGATTAAAACAAATTTTTAATTAGTAATTAAGAAAAAAACAAAAAATTTAATGAAAATACTTTTTATCGTCAAGGCAAAAAGCTTCAAAGCAATAAACTTTCACATGCTTTAAATACAAGATAGATTAGATAAAAAATAGTAGAAATTTTTATAAAAATATAAAAAAGTATAAAAATCTGATAAAAATTTACATCTTACTTTGGGTTTCTCTATAATAAAGTAATTATTTGTACCTTTATTTTTCTTATAACTCACAAGTTTAAATCTTAAGTTAAATTTTTATATTTGTTTTTTGAATTTCTTTTAGCGTTGAGCTTAATTACTATCTATAATATTTTATAATATTGTAATTATTATATTATTAATATTTAAATCATCTAATTAAATATAAATTCTCATTTACTACTAAGCCCATATTAATACTATTAGACAAAACGGTATGATTCCTAATAAAAAACGAAAAAATCAAGAACCCCCAAAAAATTTGAAAAGATTACGAAAACTAAATGATAATTATGCTTTTCAATCTTCTAAACCTATTGAGTCTTTCAATGAAAATACTGAAACTACATCTGAAAATAAAGAGTATATATCAGATGTAAATGATAATTCATTACAAGATTCCAACTCTATTCCAGATGGCCATAGACCTTTATCAAAAGCAAGTGCCAGTAAGCTAGCTAGTGAAGTTTGGAATTATTTTCGCCCTTCAGAACATATAGAAACAGGAAATCTTGTTGGGTAGTGTCCTCTAGAGATTGTTAGAAATTGTCAAAAGCAGACATGCAATATAATCTGCAATACAGATGGATCAACAGGAAATATGTGGGACCATCTTTCTAGCGTACATGGAATTACTAAAGAAAATAGTTTAAAATCAAAAGACTAGTTAAAAATAGATACTATATTTAAAACTACAACTAGTAATTTAAAGTGCAAACAAAATCAAACCCATTCTTTAGTCGAATGGATTATTGATAGTGTGCAACCATTATATATTTTAGAATCACAAAAATTTAAAGCATTTATTGCTACTTTAGATCCTTATTATGAATTACCCA